CAGAAAGGAAAAAATCTCACACCGCCCCTGTGAACTGCAGAGCCAGGCACCAAGGCACCAATGGCAATCACTGACGTAGCCAATTAGATCATCTCATCCCCGGAGGCTCGGGCTGAGCGTCTGCACAGTTGAGAGCCCCGGATTATTCAAGGCACGTGGGATCTCTGGTTGAATTGTTGAATTGACTCTCGTCTTCTATTCCTGTGTGGCGAGTGGAGGCTCACCCTTGTTTTGGTCTTTTTGCTCGCATCGAGTGTATGACTGGAGACATACACTAGATGTCGACTCAAGCACATACCCCCTTACCCCAAGTTGGGAAGCTTGTGAGCGTGGTGTGAGTATTTGCAAAGAAGATGCTCTTTGACCTCAAGCTAACGTCTGTTCAATCCCAGCCCGGTCGGTCTTAAAGAAGCTGCCCTCGACTCGCCCACCTTCCGTGCCACCACCCTCCATTTTTGCGACCAGGTCGAATATATAGAGAAATGGCTGGATGGATATGCAAAGGCTGCAACAAAGCTCTCCTCCGAGCTGACGGCTCTGGAGAGTGTTGTGAACAGTTTTCTGTCCTACTCGACCAGCCCCCTCAGTGTCTCCGAAGCGGTCGTCGATCATGATTACACACTGTTGGCTATGAAGAGGACCGGGGAGGGATCCAAGGATCTCTGGAGCGGATTAGTGTCATCGACTAGGAAGATGGAGGGGTTGATTGCTGAACCGATCCGCGACTTCATCCATGAGGATCTGCGGCAATTTAAGGTACGCTGGACCCCTTGGACTATCTTGTTCGCAAACAGCGTTTGACATCGTTGTAGGAAATCCGTCGCAATCTCGAACAGACACAGAAACAGTACGACTATCTACAAGCCAAATATGCCTCACAGTCCAAGTCAAAGGAAGCCTCGGCTTTGAGAGAAGAAGCGTTCCAGCTTCATGAAGCCCACAAGGCCTACATCAGAGCATCCATGGACTTCGCAGTACAGTCTCCCCAGGTGCGTAATGCGCTAGATCGTCTTTTGGTCAAGGTATCTTTCGATCAATGGCGGGAAATCCGGGGATTCCACAACCAAAACAGCGGCACATTCTCCAAATGGTCTCATGAGATGGAACGCATTAAGGGGTGGCTTCATGAGATGGAAGGGAGTGAAAGGTCATCCAAGAAGGAGCTGCTCTCTACCCGGAAGTACCTCGAAGAAGCTGCGGAGGCTGCAGCTCGCCCGTCTCGTGAACTGGAGGACTATAACATTTCAACTGTTCCGTACCTTGGCTCTCGTCCTCTTTCATCACTAAATGTGACAAAAGAGATGAGACCGGAGAAACAAGGGTGGCTGTACTTGCGCACTTTATCAGGAAAGCCTACTCGTACCGTCTGGGTCAAGCGCTGGGCTTTCCTCAAGAATGGCATTTTTGGTTGTCTTGTGCAGGGCGCTAGAACCGGTGGTGTTGAAGAAAGTGAGAGGATTGGTGTGCTGCTTTGCAGCATTCGTCCTGCTTTTCAAGAAGAACGCCGATTCTGTTTCCAAGTCAAGACCAAGAACAACACGATTTTGCTGCAGGCAGACAACCAAAAAGAACTGATGGAGTGGATTGGCGCCTTTGAGGCCGCCAAACAGAAAGCATTGGAAAATCCTGCTAGCACCGATCTCTCAGTTTCTGGAAAGGTCACTGTCCAAGATCCTGCATTTTCCATTTCTCAACCCCCGGCTCCCGAGTTCACTGCAGATCCCGCCGACTCTCTCACACCCCACACCCACGATGAGCCCGGCGGTGGAGAGCGAAGCTCAACACTTCCTGTCCCGGACCGTGAGGGCAATGCATTCAGAAATAGCACTGATATTGGAAGCAGAAGGCCCACTGGCTTGGAAACTGAGAGTTCTGCCAGAGAGCACACTTCCAGACTGATCCAGAAGTTGGACCTTCATCGAAAATCTACCAACGTTGCCCCGACACCTTCTTCCCATCTTGGCCCCGTTGGTGGAATTGCCAGCCTCATCTCTGCCAGCCACAACATTCTCCCATACAGTACAACAGTTCCAATCAATGGGAATGACGATGCCAACCGAGGCCGCAGTTTGAGCAATGTGGAAGGCCCCGGTGAAAGCCTTGCACCTACAACTCTTGCCAATCCCCCAGCCCCTACCAGTATGAGCAAGGCCGCTGTTGTCGTGAGTAATGAAAGGGGCATTGGGGTAGGTCTCTCCGACAGCACAGGTGGGATGCCTAGTGGTATGATGGCGAACCTGTGGGGTAGCTCTAATTGGGGCTTTGTGAACAAGTTCCAAATGGAACAACGTCGACACGATGATGCCCCAGAAGGGCGGCCATCTTCCACCCTGAGTGACGGTTCAGTGCGTACCCTTGCTGCACAGCCTGATCAGCCGGGCGATTCAGCAAATAAGTCGGCGCCCGGGCCCCGTCACAGGCAGACCGTAAGTCTTGACGGCGAGGAAACCAAGCAGCTTCAGCGAGCTATAATGGGTGTCGAGCACGAGTATCCTAGCTATTATCCTCCTCGATTAAGGATACAAGATGCCCAATTCCGATTGCTGTTCCCAGATGTCAAAAGAGAGGAAGCTTTGGTGTTGGTGTTTAGGGCTACTTGGAGTCCAAACGACCTGCAAGAGTTCCCCGGACGAGCCTATGTCACAACCAGGCATATCTATTTCTACAGTCATCACTTCGGATTGGTGCTGACGACCGGTGTTTCTCTGGAGAGCATCAAAGAAGTGACTGCGGCATCTGGACGAGATTGTGATTTCCTTTTCCTTCACATTATCCCAGCACTCGGTAGTGACACCCCTGGCCGAGTCACCATCAAAACCTTCCTTGAACCTCTCAGACTTCTACAGAAACGTCTGAACTTCTTAATCCAAGGCTCTATTGCTGTCGAGCAATTGTCTTTGGAAGAATTGATCAAAGCCCTGATCAAGATGGACACAGGCTCTCCGACCAGGTCATCCAGCGCAGATAGCTGGGAGGATCTCTCGTCCGGACTTGCTGACATTAAATCAGATTGGGGCAAACGTGCTGCCACGGGCCCGGTGAGGGACATTCGAACCCCCATCTACATCGACAAAGACCTTGACCTGGACGGAGGCAGGGCCGGCCGGAGGGATATCGCCAAGTTCAGACTTCCAACTCAACCCGTGGAATATGTCCCACAAGGTGACCTGGTTCTGGTGGCCGATAAAGTCCTCGACATTAGCCCGAAAGCATTGTTCCATATCCTATTTGGCGACAAGAGCGCTGTGTGGCAGCTTCTACTCCATGAGAGACAAGCGCGAGGTAGGCCCATTCCCGACCTTCAACCCTGAATCACATTGCTGACACCTCGAAGAAATTAAGCAAGGTCCTTGGACCAGTACAGAGTCCAATCACCTGCGCCGTGACTTCCACTACAACATTGGCGCGACGGATGTCCTTGGTAGGCCTGACAGTCGACTTTGTCATTTAGTTGTAACTGACCTTGCATAGGCAAACCCCATGATAATCCGATTTCGGACTACCAGATCATTGACGTTCTCAACGAGCATCTGTGCTACGTGATCACAGATAAGAAAACACCATGGCACCTTCCCTTCAGACGATCGTTCAGGTTGGTCAGCAAGGTTGTCATCACATTCCAGGGCAAGTCTAAGAGCAAGCTTGCTATTTACACCAAGGTCGAATGGCTGTGGTCACCCTACGGCCTCAAAAGTGAGTCAACCCCCTCTTGAGGAAACTACCTCGAACTAACACATCGCAGATGTGATCGACAAAAAGGCTAGTAATGATCTAGAACAAGACGCCTTGGACCTCGTGGATCTGGTCAGTGACCAAGTACGTCGGCTGGGTGCACACAGCCGCACTAAAAAGGCCATCACAATCTTCGGCCACGTTGGACGCCAAAGCAATGTCTCCCACTTCAACGGTGCTGGTGTCAACTTGAAGTTGGAACCTCGCAAGCCTCGCGTCCAACGAAGCATGCACGAGCTTCTCCTTGAAACATCCATCTCATTCATGGAAACCACCATCTCCTTCCTGATGATGTGGGCCTTTGGTGTCATTCGCTGGTCCTGGAAGACTGTGAGTGCACACAAGATCATCCTGGTTCTATTAGCCACAAGTGCAATCATGAACGGATATCACTCCTCTAGAGATGGCTGGGACTGGTGGCATGAAAGGCACGCAGGAAAGTTCATGGCGCGGCTTGGAGTCCAGCCGAATCTCATCATGAGCAAGGCTATCTACATGCGAGATATCGATGATGCAGTTGCAAACACCACGATCTGGCCCAGTAATGGCAACGCCAGTGACTGCTATGCCACCTTCCATGACCAGACAATGCGGTATGCAGAGATGCCTTTGTCACTCAGCACATCAGGACCCCGGGACGTCTTGACCAAGAGCGCAATCAAACGCTTCCAGCAAACCCGCGAGCGCCTCGGAATGTACCGCCACAATCTTCTCGTTGCCCTTCGAGTTGTGAATAGAATCGAGAAAGAAGTAATTCAAACGGAGTGGGAGCGCTGGCTCCGCGAGGAGACTCGCCGCTGTCGCCAGGTGGAGGTGCTTCTCGGTGGCGAGTCTACCCAAGGTGATGACTCGCAGGCTGGCCGACTTGCTCAAGCTGAGCGCGTCTTCGCCGAGCATGCAGACAACGTGAAGCAGTGGTATGAGGAGTACTGCCCGAGTTGTCGATTGGAGCAAGAAAAAGTCGACGCCAATAACCGTGGTGATCTAATCCCTTGAATTTCTGCAGCTGTTTCTTGCCGCCCTGATACTTGATACTTGATACTTGATACTTGATACCTGTGCAGCCATTTAGCATTTGTCGCATCTTGCTCTTGCCTATCACTATACCCGGTGGTCCCTACTGTTGTACATAATTTCGGCGCAGATCTGGTAGCCCTGGCTGCATCTTAATGCCATCACTTTTCGGTGAATCTTCTATCCATCTCGTAACTCATCAACCCACAAGGGACTTAGAAAGTCATACTATACCATAAGACAGACGACCTATCCTAATTCTGCCTCGGCTTAACCTCACCCTCCTGCACAACATAATAAGCAACAGTCCCATCTCCACCCATCCCCCGATCAACCATAGCAAGCAACAACCTCTGAGACCCCCATTCCCTACTCTCCCTCGCCATCTCCCTCTTCTCATAATACCGCGTCAACTTCCTCTCCATCTCATCATCCCCACTCTCCCCATGCCCATACTCAACCAACCCCCCAGCAACCCGCGGCAAGTCATCAAAAACAGCAGCCATAGTTGCAAGACTCCACGCCTGACCATGCGCAGTGGGGATCACAAACATCCGCTCGGGCCGCAGGTCATCTTCCCGGATCCCATTTTCTAACATCCACAGTTGTTCGTCGGGGTGTGTGTATACCCTGTGTGGTGGGATCCCGGACACTAATGTTACAGCGTGTGTTTGAGTTTGTCGTTTTGTTGAGGACGGTAGCGGTGTTGGGATTGTGTGTGTCAGGAGGGAGGTCCAGAGGTGTTGGTGTTGGAGGTTGTGTAGGACTTGGGTTGAGGTTGCGGCGGAGGGACTTTGGTGCGTTGCGCTGGATGTCTGCGCGCTGAGCGCTGAGGGCTCTGGACGTATTGTTGGAGGTTGCGGTTGTGTGTTTGTCATTGTGTGGTTTTTCTTTGGGTGTCGGGGTTGGTGAGGTCGTGGATATAGCTTGCGCGAGCTTTGCGATTCGCGGAAATTGGGGGCTGGTGAACCGCCTGCTGTGTGGATAGGGTTTGGGTATTGCTTTGTGCAATGGATATGTGAGATATTCGAGGTCAAGTTGGGTTGAGATCAATTATAGACTGGAATGGAGGTTGCGGACATGATGAGTTCTTCACAGGGCAAAATTATGTGGGGCGGCGATCATCGATAAGAAGAACACATGGCTTCATTGTTTCTATTTTTTTTTTTTGTTTGTTTCGGAACTTTGACACCTTCGATATTTCTTATTCTGAGTCTAGCACGAACTGTACCTCAATTCCCTCCCTCTATACTCAAACATGGGACGACAAAAGCAATCTGCGCCGCTTCAGAGAACCCCTTCCTCTAACTTAATGCACCTCCCCAATGATTCCGACGTGTCACGAAAGCCTGGAAACACAGACACGCCCTCCGTCGCCAATGGAAGCGTGTCCGAGAAAGCGTCGACAGCGCTGGAGACAGTGGCTGACAATCCTGGGTTGATGCAGCTTGTGATCTGCGTCCTCGGTATCTATGCAGCATTGTAAGTACTTCCTGTCTCGTCTTAAGATGAACCTTTTACTAACAGACACACAGCCTCTCATGGGGTGTCCTACAAGAGGCGATCACAACAACAAGCTACCCGATCCGCCCGGCAACAGCCACCGAACCAGAGCCACCAACAGAACGCTTCACCTACTCGCTCGTGCTGAACACCATCCAATCCTCCTTCGCAGCAATCACCGGCTTTATATACCTCCTGATCTCAACACCAAAGGGCCAAAGCATCCCGTCCATCTTCCCCACGCGCCGAATCCTCTTCCCCCTCCTCCTAGTCAGCATCTCCTCCTCGCTCGCCTCGCCCTTCGGCTACGCCAGCCTCCAGCACATCGACTACCTCACCTTCATCCTCGCCAAATCATGCAAGCTCCTTCCGGTCATGGTCCTGCACCTGACCATCTTCCGGAAGAAATATCCCTTGTACAAGTACGGCGTTGTTTTGATGGTTACGCTCGGTGTTGCGACCTTTAGTCTACACCACCCAGGCACTAGCAAGAAGGTCGCCGCAGCCGCAGCGAAGCAATCCGGTTCCTCGGGCTGGGGTATCTTCTTGTTGTCTATTAACCTTCTTTTGGATGGTCTGACCAACACCACGCAAGACCATGTCTTCTCTTCGCCTAAGCTGTACACGCGCTTTACGGGGCCCCAGATGATGGTTGCCCAGAACGTGCTCTCGACCGTGCTGACTGCCGTGTACCTCCTAGTTATGCCGCATCTTTCGCAAAGCGGGATCTTGCACAACCTTCTACCTTTACCTATTCCCCCGTCTAATGAGACGGAACTGTTTGGCGCTGTTTCTTTCCTCTCTCGTCACCCCGAGGCACTGAAACATGTTCTCGGATTCGCGGCGTGTGGTGCTGTTGGTCAGCTGTTTATCTTCTATACTTTGTCGCGGTTCTCTTCTCTATTGCTTGTCACTGTTACCGTTACACGGAAGATGTTGACTATGCTGCTTAGCGTGTTCTGGTTTGGTCATTCTTTGTCTGGCGGTCAGTGGTTGGGCATTGGTCTGGTCTTTGGTGGCATTGGTGCCGAAGCAGCAGTGCAGAGATCAGAGAAGAAAGCGAAAGAGAGGTCGAAGCTTGAGGCTGCGAAGAAGGAGTTGTAGGCTTCTCCATTCGCTTTGGAGGACATATATCAAGTCATACCTCTAGAGCATATAGATTTATAATTCAACTATCACAGTGTGAAGAGTCTCGACAAATCAAACCTTCTTCTCTAGTATGTTATACATTGGAAGTAGATAGTAAATTTTTGCCATCATGCATTGCTATTGATATCAAGCACATTCAATTCAAGTAAAGACATAGCCCATCGACAAATGGAAGCCTCACTTCCGCCCCTCAACCATGATAATATGATACCCAAACCCAGTCTTCACCTCGGCATACTTGGGGTTACCGGTAGTACTAGCTTCAAGCTCAAAGGCCACATTCTCAAATGCAGGATCCAGAGCACCCCGAGTCTTCCATCCCAGTGAGCCACCTGCAGGATGAAGTCAGCCGTGTCCATGTCATAGATTCTGCGTATGGGATATGGAACAAGGAATCCTGGACCGCATCCCCCGTTGACATTTGGCGAGAACAGAGGAGGAATGATACTAACCCTGTCGAGCCTTATCTTCCGAGAATTCACGGGCAACCTCATCAAATTTGGTGCCATTGCGGAGCTTCTCAAGGGCTTCTTCTTTCTTGGCGTGTTTCTCGCACTGGATATTGTCAGTATGAGTCTGTAAGTGGCTGCTTTCTTTTGTTTTGGAGTTTATGGTAGTCAGATGCCATAGGACAAAAAGCAAGACGGGGGCACCGCATATAAAGCAGAAGAAAGGCAAAACATACAAGAATATGGCGCACATTAATCGACTGCGCACCCTTTACAGCACCCTTCCCACCCTTGCCTTTATCATCGGCAGCAGCGTCCTTGCCCTTGCCCTTCCCAGCCTTGGCGTTGTTCTTGGGAGCCATAGTGGAATATGAGCTATGAGCTATGAGCTATGAAGCTATGAGTTCGTTGTATTCTTTTCTGACCGGATGAGATGTGGGGTGAGATAATTGGTGGCCTGAGGTTCCAAGGCAGAAAACGGTATGTGACGTGCGCGCTACACACTTCGACTTGTTTAAAACACCATGGGCTTTGACCTTGATACTGTGCGTGTTTCCGCTTTGCCGGATGGTGCTTTTTATATATCAGATTTCGTCACGGAGGATGAGGAGGATTGGTTGGTGCAGAAGGTATGTTGTTGGTGCCTTGCTCTTGTCCACGTCTTGTTCATTTTGTTTAGTACATGTACACCACCCCGCAAATATATATACTTGTCATGGTCATGATTTTGTTTCATGTTGTCAACGTTTATATATATGTCATACTTCATACTCACAGCAATGAACAGGTGACTTCAGCACCTCTACCACGCTGGACTCAACTCTCGCATCGCAGACTACAAACATGGCCATCGGCACTGACAAAGAACAACACCCTTCTCGCAAGTCCACTACCAACCTGGCTAGTATCGACTATTGGGCCACGATTCAAGGACTTAGGAATCTTCAATGATGCACCTCATCAAGCACCGAACCATGTTCTGGTCAACGAGTATCAGCCCGGACAGGGCATCATGCCACACGAAGACGGAGCTGCATATTACCCACTTGTTGCGACTGTCAGTCTGGGTGCACCAATTGTATTCGATATCTATGAGAAGTATGGACCGGAACAAGGACAAGGACAAGAAAGCACTGGCGGCGCAGCAGCTCAGACAGCTCGAAAACCTAAGCCTAAGTATAGGATCTTACAGGAGAGACGGAGTCTGCTTATCACGAGGGGCGAGATGTATACGGATTTCCTGCATGGAATTGCTGAAGTGACGAAAGATGAAGAATTGGGCCCAGACTCTATTTGCAATTGGAATCTGTTGCGAGAGAAAGAGGCGTACCGAGGTGGTTGGTACGAGCGGAAGACGAGGATCAGTCTCACGTACCGGGACGTGCTTCACGTTACGAAGGCGGGGAATGCGATGAAATTCCTTGGCGGGAGGTGACACGATTCCAATTTCCGATGTTATTGTTACATGTTCTAGTATAGCCAAGGAATCATATACCACCAATCTTTGACCGAGTCTTTACCGAACTTTTGTGCATACCATGCCTTGGTATTCCGGGCTGTTAGGCCCAGGTTTACGGCAACGAATGCCATGCAGGCGAGCATGGTCTTGTTCACTAGGGCTCCGCGTGGCGCGGCTAGTAGCGAGAGTGATAGGTAGATGACGCACTCTGCTCCGTAGTGGGGGCACACGACACCACTGAACATGGGATGTTGAGGGAGGGTGTACTTTTCTAATGAGAAAAGGTAGTGGTGGGAGTCGTGCTGTAGACCTGATGCGACTAGGAAGAGTGGGACGAGGAAGAATGTCCGCATGCTTGGAGCGTTGGTGATTTGCAGATGATGGATCGTCAGATCCTGGGTCAACAGCGTTCCTGAGTTAGCGTTGTTAGCAAGCTAGCCCTAAAATATTTCATAGTTATAAGGGTGAGGATAACATACCTGAGCCCTCAATCCAAATCGCCACACCCGCAGCCAGGTAGAAACCCAAACCTAGCACCCAGTGAACAACCCACATCTGCGAAGATGAAGGTTTCGAAAAATTAATGCACTCCCACAATCTGCGGGATCCCTGCATAGCCAACAAAATCCAACAAATAATAAGCTGCGTCATGGACATCGACTGCTGCCGATGCTCCTCGTTCACCCGAGTTGCAATAGCCTGGAACACCACGCCCCGGGAGAGTAACTGCGCCGCCCAGAACACAGACGAGAGCAGGGAAGCAATATAAAATTGTTTAAAATAGCTATGGGGCACCTGCCATGTCGCCATATAGTCGAGGATTCCCCGTCCCGCACCCTTACCCTCACCCGCAGGCTGGGCACGAGCCGCGGCCGACTGGTCGGACGAGGTCGAGATTGAGGTTGCGCGGGGCCCATAGACGAGGAAGCGGTCGCGCAGGGAGGACGGGATGCTGATGGAGACGGTCTGCAGAGGAGGGGCATTAGCTTGGGGTGTCTGCAGGCGTGGGCACTGTCACAGGGCGTATCGTACTGTGGCGGCGGCCAGCAGGAAGAACGCGCGTAGAGCATCAACTGCGTCCATGCCTGTGGTTTCTAAAGTCGTGTCGACCCATTGTGCGATGAGAGACATGGCTGGCGGTGTTGGTGTCTCTTGTCTCTCTAGTTTGTCTAGCTTGCCTAGCTCGCCTAGCTTGTCGGTGCCATGTGATCTCGGGATTCGGGTTTTTTGGCGTGTTTACTGTGGGGATTCCGGCCGATCATTCAGCTCTGCGCCACGGGGGAGTTAATTCAGCTCCCGGGATCAGCTAGGAGAGGTC